GTCCATTCAGGATCTGTTCAAGAAGGTGGTTCCCTACCACTGCCTGGGGGGGATTTGGTCTCAGCGGGATAAGAAAGGTAAGGAGCACCTGGCTCCCACCATCAGAGCCACCGTGGCCCAATTCAACTCTGTCACCAACTGTGTCATCACCACCTGCCTGAGCAACCCGGCACTGAAGCCCAACCAGAGAGCCCGTCTGCTGGAGAGGTGGATAGAAGTTGCCCGGGTGAGACTTCTGGTTTGCTGAGCTCATGTGCACTTGGGACCGACGGCCGTTTCGGTTTGTTTCTGACTGAACGATTGCTGTTTTCAGGAGTGTCGAATACTAAAGAACTTCTCCTCGTTGCGAGCCATCCTCTCCGCCCTGCAGTGCAACGCAATCCACCGCCTAAAGAGGACCTGGGAGGAAGTGTCACGGTAGGTTTCGTGCCCGCCTGCAGGCTCTGCAGAGTGATTGTTGTGCGCTGACCTCTTTGTCCGCCTACAGGGAAAGTTTCCGAACCTTCCGCGAGCTGTCTGAGATCTTCTCCGACGACAACAATTACTCCCTGAGCCGAGAGCTGCTGGTGAAGGTGAGTCACAGCAACAGATGTAAACATAACTCTGAGGGGGTGCACAGTGAAAACGGAGGAGGTGTATTTAGCCGCTGAAGGAAAAACCATCTTCACAATAATACGCAGACAAATCAGTTTATGAGTTACATAACAGTGACACGTGGCAGCTGAGCAGGCGGCGGGAGGATGCACGGCTGGGTGACCCTTTACCGTCAGTATCCTTCCTCACAACAGCTGCAGCCAAGCTTCCTGCACATCAGAGCACCTTGTTCTGTTACTTTTGGACAACAGGATCCATATACGATGTCCAGGCTCTGTGCAGCTGACAGGTTGCTGTCATCATTAGTGCGATATAGTGGGTTTAACGCAGAGACGCGTTGACACCGTCAGGGTGTTTTGCAGCTCGTATTGACGCATTCAGTGGAAGGTCAGCAGGAGCTGATTCATTAATTCAAGATATTTGAGTGAGCAGGAAATGCGATGACAGATCAACAGGCTGCACATGCTTTCCGCTGCTCGTCTTTACTCTTTGACTTTACTACAGAAGCTTTGCATGATTCACAGGTCAAAATAAGGATTATTTTTCTTGCACAGGGGCTTTGCATTCATCCTCTGTCTGAAACAAGCTGTTTTAATTCCTCCGCCTTTTACACCAACTCGCTTTTGAGTGGCTGCTGCTTGTGAACAGAAGGTCTGAAGAGCAGCAGGGATGTTTGGCTTTTATCGCAGGATTTAGTTGCACTTATGCGGCAGCGCTGTCCTTACAATCAACACGTTTTTAAGGTGTCACATTCTGACATTTGCACGCTCATAAAGACTCAATTGTTAGGAAAAAGCTCATAATCATTGTAAATAATTGCAGAACTCTTGCCTAATGCACGATATTGACATTTACTGGATTGAAAAACAACCATGTACTACGATGCAGGACAGTCGGTGTATGTGGGAGTTCGTGGTGATGAGGAATATGGTGTGATTTATTTATTTATATTTCAATAGGCGTTGATGAAAATACATCTCTAAGGCACAGGGGGATATAAAAATATACCCGTCTCAACACATTCACTGATGTTTTGGTGGATTTTGATGACAGTGTTCTTATAATTGAACAAACTAGGTCCTCTTGACCCTTGTGTAAGGTGATCTTTCTTAGTGTTCAGTCTGCTGTGCTTAGTCAGAGTAAAGGTAGAGAGTGAATTATCACCTATTTTTAACCTGAGACGTTTTCTGATGTAATGCTGAGTTAGTTAACACCCGCGGCGTCCGCTGAGGGAATCCCTGCTGACGTCACAGGGAGGAACCCTTTGGCAGGTGTAGATAACGGCTCCAATGTGTAAAAGCAGACCTCAGGGCGTCGCCTCCGTCTATCTGCTCGGGCCAGGCCGCGTTGACTCGACTCGCTTGGCTCAAGTTGCACGAAGCTCCAGAGGCCTCCAGGCATTACATCACTCTGAGGAATGCGCAAGGAACGCCAAGGAGGTGGATTTCCTCCCAGTTTTTACTTTGAGGTCGTGCAGATGTTTTATTTTTTATGTCAGAACAGGTTTTAAAGATCTAATCTGCTGTAACGCATAAACGAAGTATATGAAGGTTAAAAAGCTTTTGGAGAAAAACATCCTTGAAGGGAGGTTCCTGGTTAAAAATCGCCCCGCCTGCGTGTCTCTGACCTCCAGGCCAGCTGGATGCATTAGACATGCTTTAAATCACCAAACGGCACATGTGTTTTCTGTGAACCGTAACCTCCTCATGTTTTGAGCCAATGAAAACAGATGTGTGACACATTCTGTGGTTAGATTCGATTTGTGTTGGAAAGCCAAAGACAAAAATGTCTAAAACTTTATTAGCTGTATATAAACTACAGGTATCTTCAGTCATATAAAGATCATTATATGTTCTGCTACAGCTTCATGCCATGGTGTGTGTATATTAACATTTTATCATGAATGTTGATTGATATTTTTGAAGAAGAGATGAAGAAATTAATCAATCAGAGGTATTTAATTACACAGGAATCGACAGGAAAAT